ATATATATATATATATATATATATATATATATATATATATACACATATACATATATATATATATAGCTATAGCACAGGAAGTTCTTTGCTAAATATAAAAAAATCCGAAATTTTCAGACTGACAGATTTCTCTACTAAAATTATTATTTCCTTAAAAGGGATTATATTTACAGGATTTCAGCTCATGTAGCTCATTTATCCATCCGTCCATTATCTTCTGCTTGTTCTGAAGTCGGGTCGCGGGTGCAGCAGCTTGAGCAGGGAGGCTCAGACATCTCTTTCCACAGCCACCTCTTCAAGCTCTTCTGGGGGGACCCCAAGGCATTTCCCAGCCAACCGAGAGACAGTCTCCCCAGCATGTCCTGGGTCTTCCCCGGGGTCTCCTCCTAGTCGGACATGCCCGAAGCACCTAACTAGGGAGGTGCCCGGGAGCGTCCTTATTAGATGCCCGAACCACCTCAGTAGCTCATTTAATACCATTTATTTTGCATATTTTATTATTTATCAAGTTACATTTTTCACAGTACAACCATACAATAGAAATCAAGACCCCGCCTGCTCTGCTCTGATTGGGCAAAACTATGACTATGGTTCTCTTTATTTGTTGAAAGCAGTACCAGTTTAATTACTGTATCATAATTACCGGTAGATTGGATGGCTATAACAAAACCACAACACAAATTTTTCCTCATCGTTTTTATAGAATACAGAAATCTGTCCTAGCCACATTCAAAATGACAGAAATCATTGTGGCGATGGAGAACTTTAATCCCTATTGAAACAATGAGATGGGTAAACTGGAAATATCAAGAGCAACAAGGAGCTTGATGTCCGTTGTCTGGATTTGTATTACTGAAGCCCCACCCTGGAGTCAGGCCATGGGGCAGAGTTCATTGGCGAGTGCCTGGTGACCTTGGTAACTCATTCAGGCTCAGCCTATTTTGTATTCCTGTGGGCCCACCACCTGCAGGACGGGCAATACGAGTCAGGGGCAAATGCCATATATGATAACCGAAGGCAGGGGCCTTGGTGTTCTGATCCTAGCTGTCCAAGGCAGGCTGGCTCTTGGTATAAGGATTGACATCTCTCTGGCAGAGAAGGAGCTTGAACTTGTGCGTGAGGTTGAAAGGTACTGACTAGATATAGTCGGGCTCACCTCAACGCATGGCATGGACTCTAAAACCAATCTCCTTGAGAAGGACTGGACCTTATTTCACTCTGAAGTTGTCCATGGTGAGAGGCACTGGGCTGGTGTGGGTCTTATTAGAGCCCCTAGGCTTGGTGCCTGTGCGTTGTAGCTTTCCTTGGTAGATACGATGGTAGCTTCCCTACACCTTCGGGTAGAAAGAGGCTGGCTCTGATTGCCATCTGTGTCTATACACCAAAAACCAGTTCGGAGTCCCCAGCTTTCTTTGGGTCATTGGCTGGAGTCTGCTCCAGCTGGGAAGTCTTTTCTTCCCCTACGGGAATTCAATGCCCTCATAGATAGTGACAGTATGACATGGAGGGGCATGACTGGGAGAAACAGCCTCTCCGATCTGAACCCAATCGATGCTCTGTTGTTGGACTTCAGTTCTAGTCACTGTTTGTTCATCATGAACACCATGTTTGAACATATGGGTGTTTATAAGTGCACATGGCACCAGGACACTCTAGGCTGAAGATCAGTGATCGACTTTGAAGTTGTGTCATCTGATCTGCAGCTGTTTGTTTTGGACACTTGGGTGAAGAGAGGAGCTTGAGCTGTCATCTGATCACCACCTGGTGGTGAGTTGGTGTTCCAAGAGTTTGATTCGCCTTGCCGGCCTTAAGTTGGACATCCTTCAGGGTGCAAGTTGGACTCTATCAGGGCTGCCTGTGGTCACCGATTCAGTTCATAACTTTTAGGGACAGAATTTCTTGGTTCAGCCAGGGAGTGTAGGCAGTCTGGTTGGGCGGCCTCAGGTTTCAGTCACTGCTATTTGCAGATGATGTAGTCCTGTTTGCGTCATTATGCCGTGATCTCCAGCTCTCACTGGAGAGGTTCACAGCTGAGTGTGAAGCAGCTGGGATGAGGATCAGTACCTCCAAATCTTAGACTATGGTCCTCAGTCAGAAAAGGGGGATTGTCCTCTCCAAGTTAGGAGAGAGGTGTTGCTTGAACTTGAACTCTTGTTCAAGCATCTTAAGAGTTTTGTTCACTAGTGAGAGAAGAATAAATTGTGAGATTGACAGACAGATCGATGCAGCTTCCGCAACATTGCAGACTCTGTGCCGGTTCATTGTGGTGAAAAGAGAGGTGAGTTGCAAGCTCTCAGAGGTGAAGCTCTTAGTTTACATTCCTACTCTCACTTAGGTCACAAACTTGACTGAAAAAACAAGATCACAGGTACAGGCGGTCAAATGGAGTTTTCTTCACAGGGTAGCTGGACGATACCTTGGAGATAGGATGAGAAGTTCAGTTATTTGATAGCGACTAGGAGTAGAGCCACTGCTTCTACACATCGAGAGGAGGCAGTAAAGGTGGGTTCAGGCTTCTGGTAACGATGCCCCTGTACACCTTCCTAGAAACGTTTTCTGGGCAAATTCTACTGGGAGGAGACCCTGGGGAAGACCCAAGACACCCTGGAGAGACTATGTCTTTCGGCTGGCCTGGGAATGCCTTGGAATCTTCCTGGCAAAGCTGGAAGAGATAGCTGAGGGAATCTGGGCCTCCCTGCTCAAGCTGCTGCCCCCGCGACCCGACTCCAGAACAAGTGGAAAATAGATGGATGGAAATATCAAGAGAAACTGCAAGTAAAAACTTAAAAAAGGAGGATTTCAGAAGATGGAAGGTAGATGAACAAGTAAGCTTAATTAAAATAATCTGTTGTTGAAGCGCTTACTAGCATGCAAAATTTTCCTGTAACTGTGCATGAGTGACTGGATTGTTTTTCATGTTATAGCTGCACAAAAAAAATATTGTGGTTTCACAATTACTCTAAATGTTTATCTTTAACCATGCCTTTTTACAAGACTGATTTAAATCTTACTTTTAGTGCAATATATGAAAAGGTTGGTTTACATTTAAACAAAATAAATATGACACTTTCTCTCTTCTTTCTGGGCCCTTGAGCAAGGCCCTTAACCCCCACCATCTGCTCCTCTGGGTATCCTAGATAGCAGCTCTCTGCTCCACACAGAGGGCTGTGGTAGCTCGGTGGTCTGTGGTTGCGTCAGGAAGGGCATCCGGCATAAAAATAGCTGCCAAGTCTTTGTGCAACTTGGTTCGCTGTGGCGACCCCTGAAGAAGGGAGCAGCCGAAAGAAAAAATTTTTTTTTTTTAAATAACACTTTCTCACCTCTTTGCGTTATCGAGCAGGATGAGCATGCTGGCTCCTCCATCATCCTGGAAACTCTCATAGTGATGCCGATCTGCATTCCCAATCAGATAATCAAAAACAGCCGTGTCGATGACGTCCAGTAACCTTGGCCCAGCATCATAGGGGGGCATTTTCTTTACCGCATCACAGTAACTTTCGTCATACTCCCACCTGATTCATAAACAAAAACAAAGAAGCATTGATATCAGATCAAAATATGCCTTGATGGGAAAAGAAAAAACTCTGCCATGCATGGCAGTACATATCTGTAAAAGACTATGCTATGCCCTAAGAGATGAGTTTATTGAAGTGCTGTCACATTTAATGAGTAGATAAATGTGCCTTCAACTTAAAGCTACTGCTAAAGTCTTTATTTGCCTGTTATACCATGCACAATTCTAATACGACGTATACAGTTGAGCCAAACATTTGTGTAAACAGTTGCAGTTATTATGTAGCAAATCTACATGTGTTTAAATTATGAAATTGAACATATTTCTTCCAATAAGATTAGGATTCATCATTGGGGAGCATCATTACATTCACATAAATTGTCTTATACAACACAAGTATTGACACCCAGAGACTCAAAGTTGAATCAGATTTTAGCAAAGCTCTGCCAAAATTCACATTTCAGCCTGTTATAGTCAAAATTTTCCAATATTTATTGCAGAGCAGGTGTGAATTGTCATAAAGAAGGAAAATTTGAATCTGAGCATGCCAACAGAACTCACTGCTCTCCATCAGCAAGTGCAGACAAGCACAGTTCTTCCAGAATGAATTTTAAAATTGAAGTAGTAAAGGTGCTGCATAAATTAAATACTTCCATCACACAAGTGAATCAAAGAGGAACAACAAAGAAAACTGAAGTAAATAGCTAGAACAAAAAGCTAGAGGAATTTTGTCACCAAGAATACTTTACAAGCAAAAGTATAAACAAACCATAATGCCAACATACAGTACATAAAATATGCGTAAATCAGATAAGTGTTGTAAAATCTTGAAATATGTTTAAAAACAGCAACAAAACATTAATGTTTTTGGTCCTAAATGCTTATCTTTCCCACAAAGTTTGTTCACAGTCAGAGACAGCAAAGCAACTCGAGACTATACCAAACGTTGAAGTTGTGGAAATGGCAACCAGCGGAGTGTGTATGAGAACAGAATACAAACCTCTGGTTTAACTGTTCATCAACAAGTACACCATGAGCACCAAAAGGCTTGCTGCAAGTCTCAGAATGAGGTGTGGTACATGTATTTTTAATATCATTCAGAGCAAACCAGGAGTCCATGTTCACCGTCTCCATGGACCACAGTTTCCAACAAATGTCTACGGCTGCAAGAAATTCTTGGAGATCAATTCAATATGCTCTGTTCTGTATTCTGCACCTATTCCACCTCAGAAGACTGTTCAGTCACAACTTTGGATCCTTCAGATACTTTTCACGTTCCTTCCTGTCCTCTCAGCAGGAGACTAAGAATTTTTTCAGGAAGCTGAAGCTCACAACATGTGCCCTTGACTGTTCCCTTTCACTCTGGTCAAGACAAACATTTCTACCATTAACTATTGATCACCAATATAATGAACATATTATATCTCTTCAGACTTGTTCTGTTCCACCACCACGGAAAATTGATGTAATCAGACCTCCACTGAAAAGAACTCATCCTTAGCTCAAAAATTCTCACAAACTATAGGTCCAAAGTTAATCTCACCTTCCTCTCAAAGGTTCTGGAAAAAGTTGTTGCTGCGCAGATAAACAACCACCTAAAATCAAACTCTCTGTTGTAAGTTTCAGTCTGGCTTTTGCTTTGCACACTCTACAGAAACAGCTTTGACCTGTTGATGGCAGCAGCTCACCCTCTCTCATTATCCTCCTTGATCTATCTTCATCATTAATCATAACGTCCTCCTAAACCACTTTCATAATTTGAACTGGCTTAATGATCTTGCTCTTGACTGGTTCTGGTCCTGTCTATTACAAAGGCCATTGAAGGAGCCAAGTCAAAGACTATTACTTGGGGGCAACAAAGTCCATGCTCAATAATCCAGGTATACAATCCAACATTTTTTAGTCAGGTCATCTGGACAGTTTCTTTTTTTGTGCTGAAACGTTTTGCCTTCGATCCAGAAGGCGTCATCAGTCAAGGAAACACACAACAAAACTGATTCTTCTCCCAACAGCTTACTCCAAAGTGGAACAAACCAGTTTGGTTGGTGTTAAGATGGTCTCTTTGGTACGCCCCCTCCTCCATTGCCGGCCCTCTTCCTTGTTGACAGTTGTGCGTTTCCTTGACTGATGAAGCCTTCCGGCTCGAAGTAGGGCGTTAACAGAGTACTCGAGTAATCTACACATCGATTGCTAGGACATCTATCGAGGTTAAAAATGTAACATCGGGTATCCGTACAGACGTCATATTATGTGACCACCGTATGACCATAGGGGGCGGTGTTGCACTGTTGCAGGTCACAGAGTATGGTGTAACACCGGGTCCAATCCACCGAACCAGAACCATTTAAGTTTCGTTTCTGACGTGCTGCATGTTTCTTCACGTTTGCAGTTTAATAATAATAACTAATAGTTTAGTTTTTCCTGTGACTTATTTGCAGTATGATAAATGGTAGGAGCATAATATACGCTCCCAATGTTTTGTTGGTCTTTTTTATTGTAAATAATTACCTTTTTTTGCGGATTTATTTATTTTTATATCTTGAGATCTATGATGTCATCAAATACTCGAGTTCTACTCGGGTTTTATTATGTTAATGTCGAGTTTAAAAATTATATACTCGTTCAACCCCTAGCTCGAAGGCAAAAGTTTCAGCACAAAAAAAGAAACTGTCCAGATGACCCGACTGAAAAATGTTGTATTACTTGGGGGGTTTCTCAAGGGTCAGTCCTTGGCCCTTTTTCATCTTATTCTACATACTTCCTCTTATCAAGTCATCAGCCAACCTGGAATATCCTTCAACTGCTATGCCAATGACACTCAACATTACATAAAAAATGGACAGTTTCATCCTCCATGTCACCTTCATCATCACTCTCCACACTCACTTTTTGTCTGGAAGAGATAAAAGGCATTTCACTTTTTCATCTCAAAACCATTGCAAGTCTCAGCTTATCACTATCTAGGCTTGAGCATGAAAAACTTCCTCATGCCTTTGTTTCTTTAAGGTGGGACTATTGCAAATCAGTCTCCTTTGGCATCTTAAACAAAAAACCTTCAGAAACCAAAAAGTCAAATTCAAGAATCCAAAGCAGCAGTTCATACGTCAATGACTGAAGTCATGGTGGTGATACAATCAACACTTCTTCTATACGGTTTGAGATAGACAAGCTCTGTCTTTGTCTTTGTAGTGTAAAGCGCTTTGAGTATCTCGATGAGATAGAAAGGCACTATACAAGTACAGTCCATTTACCATTTATCATTTATATTACTGTTGTTTAAGAAACTGCAAATCAAAACTGTTCTGCCTATATTTAATTCTTCACGTTCTAATAGTAAATACAAATGTGTTTATCTGCATGTATTAGTTTTTGAATACACACAAACTGAAAGTGCAGTGTGTGTGATGTAAAAAGAACCACGCCGTTTAATATTTATCGATCAGCAGACGACTTTCTGAAGGGTTTGTTTCTACATCACCACTCGTCAGACAGCTCAGAGGAAGTGAATCATTTGTTAGCAACAATATTTATTTATCTACTTGAAGCATCGTCTGTTGCACAGAAACTTTCTCTGCTGCTCTTCTTTGAATTTTCAAAGGGTCATTTTTCAAGGTAACATTTTATTTCACATATAATCTCAAAAGTAGTTTTTTACTGAGAACTACTCACTTTGGAATCTGAAAATCACTCAATGTTTAGGTCTGTGCAATACAAAATTAAAACACTATGAAACTCCAGAATTTTTTTAAGACTAGGGCTTTGCTAAATGTTTTAACTAATTTTTAAAAACAAAAGCATACCAACCTTTTAATTTTTTACAGAAGAAAGTAAGTCCTGACTCTTTTCAAAAAATGTTTTCTGCCACTTTGATGAGTTCTCAGAAAACTGACATGTAATAAAAGGCAATAATCAACAAATAAATTAATTACATTCTAGTCATTTATAAGTTTCTTGTTCTAGGCTACAAGTCTAAATGAAAAAAGAAGAGCTGTGTTTTGTCAGCTTCAGCAATGTGACATTTGTATTTGTCTTGATAATAATCTAACTCTAAATTTTTATTTGTGTCAGAAAAATTTCCCTGAATCTGAAAACTGACACACAAAAAGTGCACAGAGCCTCTCTAAACAACACACAACACCCACCTGGCCAATTTCCCCTCTCTGTATGTGCGTCCCCACGGGTGCCTGTGTTTCTGCAGAGGCCAGACGTCCGGCAGCCAAAGGGTTAAAGACCCCTCCATGATTTCTCCCTCTGCGCACGCCGGCTCCGTCTCCCGACAGTAGTAACACTTTCCGTAAAAACACGTGTTATTACCTGAAGAGAGAAAACAGAAACAGTGATGAAGATTAATGGTGATCATTTCATTTAGAAGGAGAATAAACATTTTAATGGTTTTATACTATTTTTTTTTTTTACATTTTTGTTTTAATGACAAATGTGTAACTTTTTGTACCACTCCAAAGTCCGGTTTTACTTGAGCAAACTTAAAAAAAAACTGAAATAGAAAATATGTTAGAAATGAATCAAAGTCAGTTTGTTTGCAAAAATAGGGTCATTTTAAAAGGTTGACTTAGTAAGCATGTTTTTTTGTTTTTTTTAATCTTGAGTGTGATATTATAGATTTCCCCCTGGTACATTTTTACTCAATGTATACCTCAAAGTCAAAACAAAATTGAAGAAAATGCCCCAGAAAGCAGGTTTCTTTCAGGAAAACATCAAATTTGTCACATGAACTGTTCTGACAGTTAAACACAGCTCAAATGTTTTCTGTTTCTTTTGATCATCTTTGAGGCGCTTCTTCAAGTTCACTGGAGATCACATGTACATAATATGATCATAATCACATCTTTTTTTATATGTATGTGAATGTTTTCTGAGAACACTTCTGTTGTGACTTGGCGCTACAGAAAAAAACTGAACTGAATCATGAAGGGAAACTCAGCTGATCTGAAAATCTACCAGTGGGTGTTTTTCACAGATCTTGGACTTGATACAGCCGTGCTTTACAGCAAGTAATAAGAAAATAAAACCATAATATGTGTGATAAAGAAATTATAGGGGGAGTGGTGGCGCAGAGGTTAGAGAAGGTGGGTCTGTGGTCGGAAGGTCGCCAGTTCCATTGACCCTTTATTTATCCAGGTAGACTCATTGAGTCACAAGAACTCATTTTAAAGAGAGACCTGTTTAGGAGCAGATGGTGGGGGTTGAGTGCCTTGCTCAGGGGGCCAGAGTGGGGCCAATGAGGGTGGAGGCAGGTGTGGGTGTTTCACCTTTTCCACCCACATTTTGATGGTGACGGTACCAGTAGTTGAACCTACGACTTTCCAATCACAGGCCCGTCTTCTAACCTCTGCGACACCACTCCCCCCCATAACATCGTATCATAATGATCATGGCCGTATTAAAATCTCACTGGTTTCCTTCCAGATGTGTTAAACAGCTGC